AAATTGTCTCATAAATTACATTGCGGGTTATATCATTCGGAAATTGCCATATTTAATTGCCTTCTGCTAACGTCAATATTTTCGCTCGTTCCGAAAATGAGATGCGATGCCATCATTACCTATCGACGAGTGAGCATCTCTCAACCGTCTCTCGAAGCGGATCGTATTTTTTTCTCTTTCAAATTAAAATGGAAACTAGATTTTGTGCACTCATAACAGTTATATTGTGTTATTGTTTTCAAATTTGGGGAATTTTTGCTTTCGTTTCCATTCTCAATATGAGTTATTGTTTCATTTCATTTTTTTTTTCTTCTTTATCGAGATGTTGAATTTTCTCTCAGCTCAACACGCGGATTAGACTCATGACACCTAACGCAACCGACATTCGATGGAATTAATTCGATTATGTAAAATGTTTTTTTTTTTTTGCATATCGATCGGTGACTCTTCGTGCGTTTTGAGTTATATTATTTTTGGTTTCTTTATCAGCAACAACAACAACAACAACAACAACAACAAAAAACGGGCTTGAAAAGTAATTTCCTTGCTTTTGTGTGTACGTGTTATAATCCACATGTTGGTTTATATGGATCCAGTGAATTGAAGTTTCATGCAGAAAGTAAGAAAAAAAACCAAACACACACACACACGGCGGCGAGCGTTTAATCCAACACGCCGATCGTAACATATGTATCGTGAACGAGGGAGCTACTGCATACACGTTGAGGACCGTTATACAATAATAAATTACATGAATGTGCCGCGGCATAGGCGCGATAGTGTGTTTATCGATCAGGAAGGAAGCTTTGAAACGCTTTTCAAAACATACACTCGCAATGGTGCTAATCATTTTTATGGCTCAAACACCGAACATTGGCTCACTCTATTTACAAGCCGCTGATTTTAGGTGTTGGCTTTTTTTCTTCATTTGGATTAGCGCTTATATTTTTCTTTCTTTGCTCGTGGCCCTATTTTCTTATTACGATCATTTTATTTTCTTTTAATTAATTCAACAAGGCGTGCAAGTACAAACTTGCCCAACCGAAAGTCTTTCAGAGTGTGTGTGTGTGTTCGAGCTAAGAGCGAAAATAGATTACAAATGCCTATTTTGTTTGGTCGGTGTATTTTTTTCCCGCTTTAAATGATCGATTAGGCATGAAACTCGTTCCAAATTGCCTATTGCATATGCCAATGAATGAGGAATTTAACCATCGCTTGTCGCGTGCTCTAACTCCAAATCACATCTTTAAACGCAAAACTGACACATATTCCGTGCACAAACGATGTAATGCGAAAATAACCCATATTTTGATCGTTTCGAACCGAAGGCAATTTAGACACATTTCACCGATAGTAATCGATGCACGCAAAACGGTAGCGCTTTGAACAGTACGATGGAACAAAGTGATAATATAAATTAACTAAAAAAAAACCAAGAATTCACCGTTGAAAATTTCTACTTAATCTCTATTATTTCGTTTTATTTACTATCGAATGAAAAGTAGAAAATTATAAAAATATTAACGACAACGACATAAAATTAAACGAAATTGCCTTTCGCTAATCGACCGAATCGGTACATTCCAATGCATATACACTCAAACAAGCGTCTAAGTACTACTTTTAATAGCTTGAACAATTAAAATGATCACTTGACGCTGTTTTCCCATTTTTTTGTCCAGAAAAAAAAGTACACTCTCCATGAAGCCAACAACATGTTTGTTTTACTTAATTGAGATTTATGCAAATAACACATTAGATTCGAGAAAGGAAATGTTCAAATTGTTATTTATCGAAATTATATCTGCAACTTTTATCTTAAACGGCCACTAAAATTGAATACTTTCAACATTCTTCGGAGACATTCTCTTGAATTAATATGTCAAGGAACAGCAGCCAATTACCACGAGAGAGAGAGAGAGAGAGAGAGAGAGAGAAAAAAAAACTACATAGAGAGAGAAAGTGCACGATCAACTAGAGCGCGGCAGTTTATCTTTTTTGCTAATTTATTGCAATCCAAATACAACACATTTAATTGATTAGATGTAAAAGTTGAAAAATTACAATCTTGTTAGTGAATTGGCTGGTTACAAATAGCGGCAAAACGTTCCTGTTTTCAAAGACAAAACAGGCAATTTTCGAACTAAACAGCGCAGCGTATTCCAACTGTGCGAAAAAAGTGATCTATTTGACTGAAATGAAAAGGGCATGGCAACAGCATATCTAATTGTAATTAAATTAGTCAACACTTCATGACAGTGGTAGAAGAATAGCTGCAAATGTTGCGAATATAAATTATGGTCATGCTGACAACAAGCATAATCGAATATTTCAGCGAATAATTCATTCATTCCTACGCGAATGTGGTATGTGGTGTCAAACGATGGTGCAATATTATTAACACCAATCTCATCACTGTTTTCCATATTCGCTATTCGAAAATAGAACTCCCCGTTTGTTTCGCTCATTTTGTTTTTTTTGACAACAGCCGTCGACAGTAGTTGCTTGCCGAACATTTATCTGGGAGTGTGCTGTGCTGTGTTATGACTGTGCCTTAAAACTGAAAAAAATCGTGCATATTCAAATCGGTTGTGCAGCGAAATAATTCATTTGTGAATCACGTTTTGCACATTGAAGATCGGCTTGAATTTGGGTGTGCAGCTGAGGAACTCCTTTACCTTCGTGCAGAACAATAAACGGCATGAATGGAGATTAAAATATATGTGCTTTTAATATCCTACATATTCGATGACGCGATACGTTTGAACGTTGTCACCTTTTGTTTCTATCAAATCGAAGGAAGAAAAAATGGTTTATGTACATATCGCTTTTGTGCTCTCAAAGGCCAAAAGCAAGTGTTGCAATGCTGGTTTTCGTTAGTGCATTTGATATGTGAAATATTGAGCAATCGAACAATCATTGAACCGTTTGTTGAGCGCAAATAATGCCACACCACGTCTGAGTGTCGTTGCTAACAACCGAATGCAATTCTCCGTGGGTTCAACCACAGACTCTATCCACTGCACGAGCAAATAACAAAATTAATGTAACATTTTGCGAATTTTCATGGTATGAAGAAATTTATGGACTCCGTTTTGCTTAGTTTGCCTTTCGAATACGATCGATACAGCAAATCACAGTGTCGCGTCGGCTCTTGAAAAGCAAAAATAAAAGAAAAGAAAAAAGCCAACGACGACGGTGATCTAAAATATCCAATTTCATTGAATCTTGCACAAGAAAAATGGTGCACATTGTGGCAACGCGCTGACAACGATCATTGCGGTTCATAGACCTTGAAACGCAAAGCGAACGCTTTATTTCAAGTTTAAATGTTATATGATTTACAACATGAGCACGCATATTTTACTCTCTTTTTCTACTTTTGTTCGTTCTTCGTCTAATTTTTTTTTTTGTTCAATTATTGTTGTGCCGCTCGAACGAAAAGGGAAAACTTACAACTGTCACTGTCTCGTTTGATTTAAATTGATTTATTTGACACCGAATTTTTGTTGTACGGTGGAGTTTGCTCTTGTTAGATAGACTGAAAAATAGTTTTTTGATTTGTGATTGACACATTTGGCAATATGAACCAGTGCCACACATACGAACGTATATTCTAGATTGAAACCACTCGAACGCATGGCTTTAAAATAGCATACGCTTTTCCCCATGGTAAATATGCGGTGGAATAAATCCAATGGAATGCATCGCCGAAAACCACACCAAGACCTACAGCACCAATGCACTTTCGGGCAATTAAGTCTCAGGCCAGTTACCCCAACTAAATTCACTCTTTATTGCAGCATGATCAAGCATTTACAATGGATTCGTTGCATTCAAAATCTGTCTTAATTTTATTCCCCAACAACAGCAACAGTAACCAAAGTCATTGGGCGAATTGCCATTTTGCATCGTTTCTTTTGCTTTCAGTGTTAGCGCAAAAAAACATAAATTGAAAATTTTCGGTTTAATTTCGCTAATCACGCCTAAAATTACCACGTTTGATTGACTTTATACGCGATTGTCTACGATTTTCATGCATTGGCACCAAACCGAAAACAAAAGACTGACAGAGAAGACAATTGAGACGTGTTGAGCTTTCACTTTGCACATTAATTTTTGCTTGAGTGCTTCACAGTGAGACGTTGACGAAATGCAGTAGAAAAAAACAATAACAGCTCACAGGAATATAATAATCTTTTGAAAATTGCTAGTTAAGTGAATGATGCGATGGTTTTGTCTTCATTTCAAAAAATAATCAAAATTAATTTTACACAACACGATGAAATTGAAAAACTGAATTGTGTTTGGAAGATTGAAACATTAATTAATATCGCTAGATTTATCAAAAGAGCACAAAGATTGTTGATTTAAATGTTGAATCGTTTTTGTCGAAAAACTTCTCACAAAGCGATTCCGTGTACGAAATAGTTCAAAAGACAAAATTGCGAGTAACCGCAAGATATCGTTGAATAGACGACCTTTCACACATCAAATCACGGTTTTTGCATGAATGAAAAATGGCAAAAGAGTCACACTCTTCTCACAGCGAACAGCATAGAAAACGTGTGTTTGTTTGAAGTTCAGTTTGATCTATACAAAGTCGATTACTGATAATGGTAAGCACCAAAGATAGAAAAAAAAATCGAGTCGAGTTTGACTTTCTAATGCAATGACGAGGTTTTCTATGATGTATCGACATTTTTCAGAGAGAAATAAAGCCATTTCCAAGCAGCATGCATCATTATTTATAAACATCGGAAGAAATAAACGAAAAATGCAAAATTTGCTCTTTTCCGTACTTCTTCTCATTACCTTTTCCCCCTCCCCGACCAAAGTGAATATGCATTCAATAAGTCACGAAGTCATGAATTAGATTTGATATAGAGAGAAAAAAGAGCATGGAAATGCCAACGCTGACGAAATACTATGCTTCAATGTTTATGGATGAAAACGTGTGATTGAAACTTTTTTTTCCCTTTTTTTCTTCATTTCTTCAGAGCACATCGAAGAAGATGACTCGGATATGTTGATGGAACCAGATGAATACCGTCCAACTGCGTTAATATCACCGCATGCAACGGCCGGCTATTTTCAGTCGGGTGAATTTCGCTCGAATGAATTTCGATCCGGCGAATATCGTGGATTATCGCCTGAATATGTGCATTTAGAGAGACCGGTGCCTCAACGAATCCGTTCAATTGAAGATACCCGCACTCCAACGCAGAACATTTTCCCGCCATCGTTTTTCCGTAATGTTCCGCCGTTGGGCCATTCAAGACCATATATCCACAGTCAAGAAAGCGGCTCAAGATACGGCAGTGGTCGAAGTTTCGATCAATCGATTCTTGGTTCGGGTGATTTTGGTGTGATTCGAGGTGGAACATTCTATCAAGACGATGATCCACCGGTGCGCAATAGCTATGAAAGTGATGAATTTTTAAATTACTTCAACAATAATGGCCATGGACGTCCCCATACCTCATTTATTCCGAAAACATTCTTCCCAGACGAACAATTCTCGAATTTCCGTGACTTTGCCGACATTAACACACCAACCGATCCAGCCTATTCTCAATTTGTCGTAGTTTATGCCAATAAAAATTCAACAGAATCGCATCCAAATCCGAAAAATATCATCGAACAATTGCAATTGCTCGACAAGGAAACAACCGACGAACAGCGAACAGAGAAGAAAAATAGTATTAGTAAATTTAAGAAGAAATTAGCAAATACAAAGTTAGAGAAGAAATATAAAAAGAAAATCGGTACAAAAGACAGTAATGCTGACTTTGAGCCTCTCTTAGCACTAAGTTAAGCATAACGTTTCGCCTGAGAGAGAGAGAGAAAAAAAATGAAAGGAGAAATTCCATTCCATTTCTAGTTTAAGGTCAATAATTATATTATTTTCATACGTAAACAAAAAAAGCGAAAATATTTCCTCTTCCCTTAGTCTTGCATACCCCAAAAAAATGAACCATTAGATAAATGACATGAACAAGAAAATGGACATCACATTGATACAATAGAAAGAGAAACTGTGATTCCGATATGTTTGTTAATCCAAATAGTTGCTTCCTCCTTTTTGGGTATTCAATCAATAGCCTGGGAAACGAAAATATTCAATGCATCAGTAGTTACCATAAATTCCATTCGTGTTTCGAGCATTAAAATCAAACTATGCGGACAAAAACTCCCAAGACGAACAATAAAATTCAACGAATTCAACAAAGAAAAGAAGAAAACACCATCAACATAAGTGCATGACATTTTTGACTTGTAAATTTAGAACGTAATTTCCTTGCATAAGTCATATCGTTCCATTCTTCTCAAAACTCATTGATAAACACATCGACCATACACGTTTCGTTTTACAATTTCTTCTCTACTTATTTAAAATTTGAAATGTAAAAACGAAATTCCATTTTTGAACAATAAACTAAAAATTAAATCAACATTTGATGAAGAATTGTTTTTATTCAAACCTTATTTTGTTTAGTTTAATTTCCTCGGATTTGGATAATTCATCTAAATTGTAAGTCATTAGAATTGCTCTGTTATGATTTCTGGCGCAGAGAAGTATACCTGAAAAACAGAAAAAGGCATACTAATAATTGTTTAAACTTCGTAAATTGTGTTTTATTCATAAAATGTTCAATCAATATGCATATCATTCGAGATATCATAGTTATTTCATGCAAGATGAAACCATGGTATTGTTGCGAGTTAGAGCCTTTCAGGAACTACGACACTTGATACTATGGAGCTGGCTATAGACAGTCGGTCCTGCTCCACCATTTCAGATAGCTCGTTTATCAGACATCGTGCTGCATCCAGACGACGCTCATATGAATTTTGTGTGCCGAAGTGACAAACTTCAGTTCAAATAGACTGTATTCTTGCGGTCCACTTCGTTGCTCATCAAGTAACAAATTTTTAACATTCCACTGAAATAAATCAAATTCGAATTAAAATTTAAAAATGTTAAAATCGATACGAATCCTTCCCATTTTCGATATTCATCCGTCGTAAATGGTATGCTAAATTTGTTAATAAATGGCTCATATTCTGCTGCCAATTTTGATGAATTTGAATGCGCTGCTTCCAATCTCAATAAAAATTCCGACAAATCTTTACGCCACTGACGATTATTTTCCTGATGTCTACGCTTTACTTTAGCGAATAGCTCTTGCAACGCAGCCACCTGTGGTTCTAGACTTTTCGGTCTGTCATTCCCATCTCTTCGATAAAATTCTTCTCCCCACTTGAACAAATAGAAAAAAAAGTATTCTACTTCGATGCATAAAATAAGAGCTTTGCATACCCATTCTTGGCATTGTGCCATTTTAAATGGTATGTGATGGCTTTCATGTATGTAGTCGTTTAACCAAATATTAGTTAATTGATAAGGTAACTCTTCATTCATAATTTCAGAGAAAAAAGACGATAGGGTTCTCCTTTCTCTTCTTGCATGAACCAATGCGCGGTATTTAAGACGCATTAAAGCAACCTGTTCTTTCAGAATTTCTTTCAATTCATTCATTTTCTGAAATTATATTTGAATTTCGATCAATTTCACTAGTTTTCCCACGATGAGCAAAATGTACACAACAATTCATACAGCAAATATAGTTACTATACTCACTAACGACTCAACAAAACTGAACACAAAGGAAAATGCGCCTACAAAAATAACAAGTAGTAGTAGTGGCAAAAAAAAGAACTGGAGAGACAAACGATTTAGCAATGGCTTAGCCGATGAGCTTAGTTCGATCGCCATCCACACGTGCAAAGAAAACTCAACCGGCCCAGTCAAGATAAAGACAGCAAAACATTATAAATGACGTCCAGATACATCTCTTCGTGTGATGATAAGGATGATATGCGAATGCGTATGGGTGAACTTGTTGTTGATTGTGCATTTGAAATACTGTAGGATACGATTACTTCTGATAAAGCGTGTGAGATGACTGGACTAGATTTGAATGTTCAAAGGATTATAAAAGCTATGATTTCGCAAATAAACTTTCCTCTTTACTTTTCATTTATTTCAAACTTGAAATTTAAGAACGAAATTCAAATTTTGAACAATAAACTAACAGTTCAATCAACATTGGCGAAGAGATTCTTTTATTCAAACCTTATTTTGTTTAGTTTTATTCCATGAGATAGATTTTGCTGTAAAATAACACAAGTTGGTAGGTAAACGGATTTTTATCTCATTTCAAAGGGAACTTTGATTTAAGTCACACTGATTTTGTGCTGGAAAAATAAAATGCACAGAAAAGTGATTTTGGTTTGAAAATGTTTTGAAATTCATTTTTATTGTGTGTTTCGCTACGAATGCAAGGTGATCGTGTGTTACAGTCGGAGAAATCGAATTTTTTATTAAATTGCACAGTTAATCTGTTTAACCATTGAATCAATTTAATCGAATGACGATTTCAATCCATCGAAGTCAGTAGAATTTAGTGAATTGAACGAATAATAATAATAATTAATAATAATATAGTTTGACTTAAATTGTAAATCGGTAAGACTCTTAAGTGTGTAAAATTCTATAATTTAATTGCTCGGTTACGATTTCTGGCGCAGAGAAGTATATCTCAAAAACAGAAAAATGCTACTCTACTGATAAGCGACTACAATGAAATCATGTCAACCAAATTTATCTCGTTCATCCAAAAATATATCGTAAATGTTTTGCTTCTCTTTGCAAATCTAAAAAAAAATCATTTCTCCAATCATCAAAAAATATTTAAAAACATTTTGGCTTTCATTGCGTATTCTAAAAAATGTTCAACCAATTTTACTTTTGCTTCGTGATATTTTCATATTTTGATCGCAGAAAAGGTTTCAAAAATGACTATTCCATCTGATAATAATTATTATTTATTATGTTCTACATAAAAATGTCCTATGTATCAACTGTTCTGTTTGAGAAAAAAACGCGCACACACACTAGATCCATGAACATTATTAGTGTTGTCGCTTTAGCGGCATGGAATAGCTGAATTTGCATATATATTCAATTTTTCATGTTTTTATTCTGTTTGGCCTACGTCTAATGTCCTCTTTTTTTAAAAAGTATTATCATATATAATTGTTAAGTAAGTTTTACATTCTCTTTCGAGGTCAATTTGAACAGGAAAAAAAGAAAAATGAACAATTTTTGTATGTGCACGTGGGAATTTCTTTTACTCTCTCTCTCTCACTCTCTCTCTCTCGCTCAAGAAACGTATTTACTTAATCACTATCTTCATCGAAGTCCTCTTGCGGATGGCAAAGCATCTCGTGGGTTTCTAATTGATTGTTGTTCGTGAAATATAATTGACATTGTTCGCATTGTGTACTCGTTTTCACTTTGTGGCCTTCCATGCATTTGATCATATCGATGTGTGATGCGCTGCTCGATCCACAAAGCCTACAATTGAAACCGGTTACATTGGCTGTTCGTTCTTCGGCGGGTTCGCCTTCGTCAACCTTTATTTTTGTGTAAAGAAGGAAGCAAAGAAAATTGTTTAATTGAAAATTGAAACACCGAATTGTTGATGTGAGTATTCAAATTGAGTAGAAAAATTGTTCAATACAGCACTCTATTTTACTCACTTCATCGTCTTCGAAATCCTCTTCAACCATGTCACCCTCCTCAACCATTTCCTCTTCACCCATTTCTTCGTCGATACCGTCGTCGACTTCATAATGATCCTCAATTCCATCGTCATTTTCAGCCACTTCGCTGCCATCACCGTCGTCGTACTGTTCATCGTCTATGTTTGATTCCTCGGCTTGCCCGCCAATCGACTCAATGTGGCTCTTAACATGCTGTCGCAGTTCCTTGGCACTCTTGCATTCTTGATCGCACAAATCGCATGAATAGCTTTGCTCTTCTTCTTCATCATCCTGCTCATTAAAATTCGATGGTTCTTCTCCATCCAAATCCATCGATCCATCTGAGTCTGCCTTATGCAACTTTCCGTCATCATTCTCTGCTGACTGCGATGGCTTTCCTTGTAATGATTGCTTGAGAAGAGACGGCTGCTTGAGCAATGATTTACTTTCATACTTGCGAACGCTATCTAGCTGTGACAACGAAGACATCGAACTCTGCGAATTGCTCTCAAATCCCATTTCTGCCTTTCTCTGTGCGATCTCTTCTTCGCCACCATTCATATGCGATGTCATGTGAACCAGTAACCGTTCTTTGCGAGTGAACACTTTGCCACAAATCTCACAGCCCCATTCATAGGTGGTCGATGGTTTCATTGTTCGAGCATGCGATATCTTGTGTTCCACCCATTCTGGTCGCGTGTTAAATGTTATACCTTTTTTGTGAAGAAGAAAAAAAAGTAGTAAAAGTGTCCAAAGTGTTCAAAAGTGAGTAAAAATTTGTTAACTTACCGCAAGACTGACATTCACATTCTTTTTCGATGAATGTTGTTTCGATACCATTTTCGCGCATCAGCTTTGCCTCGTTTCGTTTATGCACCTCGACAATGTGACGACGCAAATTGTTGCCGCTGGCAAATGTTGAATTGCAATACGGGCAAACGGGTGGATTGGATGCTCTGGAGCGTTTATTTCTGTTGTTACTACCCACGTCTGGACGCCAAATGCTATTGCTGTCAGTGATTTGACGTCCGTCGGGCGAACGGAAATGCCAACCACGATGAACTTTCAACGCATTAACATGTGAAAATTTCTTTGGACACATGTCGCACGCAAATTCACCGTTCTCAACCATTTGGCCTTTGTACGATGGGTAACTGTATTCGCCAAGATTTTCATCGGTACTGATATTTGTGTCGGCCAGCATTGCTGCGAGTGCCGAATTATTGAATGAGCTTTCATTTTGCTTTTGCTCATGCATACGAAGATGTTTGCTGAGCACACGTTTATCATGGAATTGTTGATTGCAAATATGGCACGAAAGATTCTCTTGACCTTCACCGGCTTGCTCTTGCTTTTGACGACTCTCTTGTTCGGCCTCCAACTGCTCTTGCATCGCTTGCAAGTGCGAGAATACATCGTCGTTTGAATGAGTCTTCAAATGATAGAAAAGTTCCGTTTTATCAAAGAATGTCTTATCGCACAGTTCACACGGCGATGGATTTGGCAATCGAGGATGTTTCTTTTGACGATGCACCCAAAGTGATTTACGCGTTCCGTACACATTTCCACAATCCTTGCATTTGGTTTCTTTGTTATCGTATTCGCTGTGGCTGTTCATGTGAATGGTCAACTTTTTGCTTGCGTTGAATGATTCGTTGCAGAATCGGCATTGCCACCACGATTCGCCCGAATACGTATTCTCCTCGGCCATTGTCTCTAGTAGATTTGTTTCGTTCAAGTCACTGCAACGAAGAAAAAATACAATTAGAAATTGAGTTCAATCTAAAATCTAACGATAAAAGTCGGAAATTGCAAAGTACCTGTCATTTATCTTATGCACGATGCTTCGATGTGATTTTAATTGATCTCGATTACGATAAACTGTGTGACATATGTTGCATTCAAACATTTGCTTTGGTTCCGTTTTCGGCACAACTGGAGTTAGTGTCGGTGAAGTGGATTCTTGTTTTGGGATTGGCACCAAACTTTCGTCGGCTTGCATTTGCTGCACGGTTATGTTGTGTGTTCGAAACATGTGCACTTTCAAACCCTTATCATTGCTGAATTCCGATGGACACAACGTACACTTTATGAATACGCAATCCTTCACATTGTGCACGTCGAGCATGTGACGTTTGTAACCATTTTTGGTGTGAATACGTTTCTGGCAGATGCGACAGCGTAGCCGATTGTTGACGTTATGTGTTTGGACGGTGACATGAGGTGAAGCGGTGAGCGATGGCAGTTTCGGAACTGAGCTATGCGAACTTCGCATGTGTTGCATTAAAAATGCCCTTGAAGTGAATGTTTCTTTGCAAATGCGGCATGTTGTGCTCAACGAAATCTCATTGTTCGACGAATTCAAATCATTTTCAATCGTGGTCTCAAGTTTAATTCGTTTGGCCGGAGGTTCAAGTGTTTCATCGATATCCGCATCGTTACCATCCAAATCTTCACCACCATCGTGCATGTTCTCGTTGTCTGACTCGTCTTCACCATTTATTTCCACAGCACATTCGACCGGAAGTTCACCGAAATCACTGCTCTCCAAATTATTATCGGCCACTTCTTCTTTGGTCATATTGTGAACGACCGACAAATGTGTTTCAAATCCACGTTCCGAGCTGAACGAATGCTGGCAAACCGGACATTTGAATGACTTTGCTTCCGAGTGTGTTGCAAGATGTGTCAAAAAGTCTTCCTTCTTTTCGACTTCCTCATCGCATTGGTTGCAACCGAATTTGAAATGCTCTTCCCCTTGATGTGTCACCCATGTGTCTTTGCTGTCGAATGCGGCTTTGCATTCACGACATGTGAACTGTTCACGTTTCTGCTTGATGGCATCGAATTTAAGGCGCTCATTGTGCACACGAAGCATGTGCTCACGCAATTCAACTTGCCGAGGGTATCCAATCTCACAGCGATCACAGCGATATGTAGTTGGCACTTGATCGGGATGCTTCGATTCCATATGGCGCAAAACGTTATAGTAATTATTATACTGTTTACCACAGACGGTGCAATTTTGCGGACTTCTTGCTTTCGATTGTGACGATGGCGTTGGATCCTCGACCAGCAAACCATTCTCGTCTTCCAACAAAAATTCATTTTTAATTGGAGTTTCATTTGCCGTTGCAATATGGGTTGCATAAACGTGTTCAATGTATTCGGGATGCGTATTGAATTTCTCTTCACACGTTCCGCACACCAAGAATACCATACACTCAACATTGCTGAAATGACGACGACGTTCGTTGGCATCTTCGAATTCGGTGCTGCAATAGCCGCATGCATTGCTGCCGGCAACTTCACGTTTCTGTGCATCGCTGTGTGTTTCAACCACATGCGTGCGAAAATCCGATTTTAGCCTAAATGTTTCGGTGCACAAGCGACAGCCATACGTTTTATTCGCAATAATTTCCTTCGATCCATATCGAATCGGTGCATTTGGCAATGGTTCTTTTAATATGGTGTCATCGGCCATAAATACGCGATACAAATTCAAGCAGTTTCGTTTCTTCAAATGTGCAATAAATTGTGGCTTCGTCTGGAATTGTTTCAAGCACTTGAAGCACAAATTTCGCGATAGCGTATCATACTTTTTGCGCATGTGTGCCATGAAAAATTTGTATGTGGGAAATTGTTTGTTGCAGCACTTGCAAGTCATCGTTTGATACTGTTCCAGAAATTCCAGATGACGCCGAATGAAATTCAACCGTGGCTCGGTCAAAAAGTGTCGGAACTGTTCGGGTTTGGTGTAATCGTAAATGGTTGGTACATCAAGCGGGCGCTTCAATTTAATGGGTGCAGCTATTGAGATCTCTAGCTTATCTTTTGGCTGAACTGTGTTTGAGCCCTGTAACGATATCCGAATGCCGTGAATATTTCGCTCGTGTCGACGTGCATTCGCTCGATTTGAGAATTGCATGTGACAAATGGTGCAGCTGGCTTGCGATCGTCCTGTTATTGAATTATTTACATTCTGCTGACCAAGTGAATCATCCATTTGATCAGTGCCATTGTCTGTGTTTTGCTGTTGGTTTATGGACAGAGGAACAGAGAAATTCATGAATTATTTTTCAATAAAAAATCAGAATGTTGGTATGGTGAAGTCAGCTTACGTGATTGATGTGTGTGAGCCCAAGAGACGCTAAAATCGGTGGATGCTCATCATTTTCCAGCTCTTCGTCGTTTTCCTGAGCTAAGAATTGTGTCGGATCCATATTGTCCATATCATCGATATCGCTTGTTATATCTTCTGGTTCTTCTTTGATGAAGCTCTGCAAAGTACACGATTTTCATTTAGAATCTCATTCAAACTTGAAAATAAAAACAAAAGTTTTTGAGAAAATCCAAAAAAAATTCAAACACTTACAACATCGATAGATGAGTTGTTCACTGCGTTCGATCGCATTGTGGAATTAAGTAAAGCGTTTTTCAGGATTCTTTGCTGGTCGTCGACGATGGCGACCGGTGCTACCTTGCCTGGTTGCAGTTGGCGCTTACGGTCATTTTCGGCTTTTTGCTTTGCACGCTCTTTGGCCAACAATAGATCGATGAAATTTTGTTGCTTCTTCTGTGCGGCATAGCAACGATTCTTGAAACTTTGCCATGAATTTAGAAAACTGATGCACGCATGGCATACTCGATTTGACATCCGATCCGCTGGCAGTATCTAAAATAGACAAATAAACATACACATAAACTTATTAATATCTTCACTTGTTTATTCAAAACCTTAAGTTAATTTGTTCCGTTATACGAAGAGAGAGTGAGAGAGAGAGAGAGAGAGAGAGAGAGAGAGAGAAAGAAGGTGGGCGATTGGCTGGATTTTATTTTTTGCTAACGAAAGTTTGCCTTGCTCCACTCACTCACTCACTCATTACGTAAATCATGAATTAGTTGGATGGGCCTGATTGCATGTGTTGAATGCTATTTCGTGCAATGTTAAAACGGTCAGCTTCAAATTACTGGCAACCCAAAAATAGCAAATCAATACGATTTGCACGTACTTATAGACATTCCAAATGAAAGAAAACACACGACATTTAATCTACGGCGAATGTGTTTCGAATGACTTCTGAGCAGTAAGAAAATTACTATGGAACAGATGATTCGAGACCTAGATAACGGAAAGTATTATGGATCTATCTATTTTCAGCGTCATTCATAGTATTAGTTTTTTGATTGAAAGGCAGTCAAAAATAGGCTGTTTTTCTTATACGAATTGGGCTTGACATTTCTTTGGAACATTTGGAGCCCACGTGAAAATGATACAATCTCCACAAATGGCACGTGGTCATTGTACACAAATGGATAACTTCGGTTACATTCTCAATTTTTCTATGGTATATTTAAAGATAAAATTGCGTAAATGTAATTGTAAATTGTTCCTTTACCGTTCCTTATACCGCAAGTATGGCATCGACAGCGAGAATAATATATAGAAGGGGTTTCGAATTACTATTTCAATATTTTTCCATTGAAAAATGAAATACGCATCATGCGACAGATTGCTCTTGAAATCTCTTTGCAATGTATTTGTCATTTGTTATCGTACATATTTTTCCATGAAAGACGCGTCATCGCAGTGGGCATTCACATCGAACATATTATCTGCCATTTGCATTGTCGTAAAACCAAAGGAAATGTTTGAAATATACACGTTCCTAATTCGGTTTGTGCAGGAGATACATAACACGCTATTCAATAAAATGAGGGAGCAAATCACTCGGGTCCGATAGATGTGTCTTCATTTCTTTGCCGTCATCAAAATCGAGGGAAAAATCAATAAACATTCTCCAAGACATACGCACGCCGGACCGAAGCATAAAACAGGCATCAACAGCAATAGCAACGGCAAAGGTTGAAGTAGTCAAGGAAAGGGCGCGCACAGCGAATAAGATGCGGTAAAATATCCAGTTACAGATAGAAAGAATAGAAGCGATGTGACAATCCCAAAGTGTATAAGATACAAGATGATGGAGACTGTACACAGGCTCATTCGATTCGTGTTGTATCTCCGCCGCTCTGGCTTCGTAATAAGCGACTACTATACGTTCGTCAATAAAAGCCAAGTGTACACGGTCACATTCAGGGTGGATAGCTGTGTGCTGAGTGAAGGCAGAGAAGCAGGGTGGTGAGCTAATGCCAAATGGTCGTTCGTTCGCTCTATCTGCTCCGTTCGGTATCGCATCACCATCTTGGATGGAAGCGAGAGAGCAACCGATTCGACGAAGGTATAAATGCGTCGCATTTTATGGAATCATTCAAACAGAAAACCGATTCAGTTTTTGGTAGCTGTAGCCCTTCTTAGTCAGAAGAGTTGAACACAATCCGAAATCATGCTCAATCCTTGGCAACCAAACTAACTAATCAGTGGGAAAATGATAATAATGTGTACAATTCGGCCGGTGTGCGCCTGTGTGCGCCATGTATATAGCACTGCGGCCGAATGCAAGAAGGATTAATCGTAAAGGGGAATGTGTCTGGTGTGGGCATGGAGTTCACGCAATGAATAGAATGGTTGAGAAAGAGAGACAGGATGAGGGAACAGTAGCAGTGAGTTAGGTAGCTCAAACATAATTATTGAATGTTTAAAACATGTAAATGGCTACGGGACGATTATGCGTTGCATTACAATAGCAGCATCAAGCAAAATTACGATTTCAAATTATCGATCCATTTCAATTCCCGTGAATTCCATTGCTGAATGATTTGGTTGAGTTAATCGTGTTTAATATGCGAGCGAATATTATATTTTACATGGTCGAACTCAATGTAACTAGTTTTTTTTTCTTCATTCCCTATCCGCACTTCTTAAATCGAACTTAGTATTTTTGGTCATTTTTTGATTACATAGAGCCCTTCAATTGAATGGACTAGTAGATGAAGAAAAGTTCAAAATTGTTTACAGAAAAGCATAATAATCAATTTATAATGTGGCATCACCACTAAGCAAAATGCTGACTCTGTTCCAAATAATCTGGCGACAAATTTACAGCCGTTGCACAGTTTCTGAGAACATGAGCGAATTGATAAAAATTGGATAAGTCAAAATTGAAAGTTTATTGTGACCAAATGCTGTGTTTATTGTGGTCAATTTGATCTTAATTCGGCCAGCGAATGAACGGAATGCAAATGTGAAAGGAAGCAAAAACAGTTTTCAGCTGAATTATTCGGCCTGAATGCCGATTTGGCGAAAATATTTGGATTCCAATGCAAAAATTTATCTTGCAAACCATATTCGACGAATCTAATCACAATGATTCAACAATACAAAACCAAATAAAAGCGGTTGATGAATCGAAATGTTAATCATTGTACAAAGTTGTTGCTAATTCCTCCCATTAATGTACTATCGAATTTGTGAAGCTGTATAGCTCACATTCACACCATCCCAACCAAACCAAACCGATTGAATGCTTAGTGTCAATACACACGAAATATGTTTGAGTATAATCATGTGAGTTTCAGAAAAATGATGTCGTTCCGACAGCCCATTTAAACTCCTAAATACACTTGAATCGAGTCTCTTTTGTTTTCGTTTTCGCTTTCGCTTTCGCTAAAAAAAAAGTGATTTGGCACGATTTTTCAGTGAGTTGGATTTTGTTTGCGCTATGGCGCGCGTCGTATCATAAACTTGCTACATTTCTGTATTCTGTCGCATGCATGGGTGTGTATATGTTGTGAACTGATTCACATGTGTCAAAGACGCGCGCGACTGTGTATATTTTACCTGTATGAAGAAGAAGCGAAATAATAAAAAAAAAAACCTGGTGATAACCATTGATACTGTTTTCGGTTCGTGTTCGTGTGGCTATGTCGTTGGTGTGTCGTTGTAGCTCGCGCGCGGCCAAGAGTGTATTGAGTTTTGACAAATTAATTCGGTCGAAGCACACATGCGAGCCTCTTGATAATTGGGCACGTGAAACTGAAAAAAAAATTTATATACATAACCACTAAGAAACGAATCAATACGACCAACTGTACGGAATCATTTCATGGAATTTGTACTGAAATCGTATTGAAAATGCGCTCATATTCCATGCCATTTGATTTTTCTTTCTGTTTCATTGGCTCGGCTCTTTTTTTTTTTTTGCTGACTCGTTGGAAACCATAATCGATACACCGAAGTTAAATGACAAGAAATTGGCACGGATTATTTTCTTCATTCAATTGGCTCGCTGAACTCGCCCCGGCGCTCCAAGTCTTGCATATTTAATTAAGTGTGCATATTTGATTTTTCTATTGGCCTAATAAAATTGCTTGCGATTTGAAGTCATGAACACAAGCGCCCCCTCGCATACACACACACACACACACACACACACACACACACACACACTCGAACGCCGCACATAGAATATCCTTCAAAGAAGCGGGGAATGCACTTGCATTTTGGTAAATTATGCATGTGTTCCGTCCATAATATGATTTTATTTATGAACCGTGTGTATCTGCAATTGCAGTTGGCAGTTACCACCACATTTTGGCGAGAGAGAAAGAGCATATGGAGTTGGAGAATGAGATTGATTGTTTGGTGTGTATATGTGGTGCCACATCACCTATGCCTTGAGCCGATACATAAAAAGAGTATCCAAATCACTTATGCTTGCATTCTCCCGATGTCAGAGCGATGCATATTTACATCGCTGCTTCGGTGAAACAGCATATAAAATACCAAAAGAGGAATACCGAATACCTCGAATCAAAGCTGCAGAAGGATGGGAATGGAGAAAGAATGGAAAAGAGTGTGCACGACACACGGCATAAGCGCAGCACAACACAACAGATATGTCCTGAAGTTTAGGTGGCAGCTGTACAAATGAGCAGGTAAAAGACATATTGATTCTGTGAACTCGTTTGGTTGCATCCTATGAGGGCATTTCAAATCACAATGGATTCGAGTGCGCGCATATCGTCAATTCGTTGCTACAAATGTAAAGATGCCGGCATGAATAGGTTAGAGACCATATAAAGGTCAATTAACTTGCTTGCATATTACAGCATACTCATCATGGTTTGCTCATACTTTTTTTCGGTGTGCATTAATAAATGATGATTTCTCGTTGATGTTTTCGTTGCTCTCTCGCTCTCTCTCTCACTCATTACTGTTTCGAATGATTAGGAGATAAGAGGCTAAATTTTATGGATTGTTAACTCGGTGTATGTTAATAATCGATTGTTCGAGTGTTATCAGTGCTCATTTGCTGTCGTGTTTCATGTGAATATGTACATGTTTATAAATTCATTCCCATTTCGGCTTTTACTCAGCCAAAAGGTGCAAGTTTTTTTTTTTTTTTGCGCCCACAGCAAAAGCAGCCAATGACGGGCAGACCCAATTGTGTACACTCCGTCATATTGTCGCAATTCATCAATAAATTGTAGCCGAAAATGTTTGGTCGAGGTTTTGCATCAGCAGAACCGTCTGTGCCTATCGCGCATTCTTTCTATCCCTCATTCATTTTCATGTCACCGAAATCGAGTGTGTCTATCGCCTCACTCTCGTTATATAGCAACGTGTGTACAGCACACTGTAGCCATGAAGCCACAGTGTGTATACCTTCGTTCCGCTAGCGCTGGCAATCGAAACGACCAGATACAATCACTCATCACATACACGTTCGCTTTTCAAACTGTACTGTGTACGCTTCATTTAGTAGCTACATCCGCACTACCACACACAGGCGACGGGTTTCACTCCGCTCTCTGTTCAGGCCACAGCAGTGCTCGATTAGAGCATTGCTGTGAAGCGATTGGTTTTAATCGAACTGCCAACGCATAACGAAGATAAAATATAGAAAAAAAAGAAGAAGAAGAAGAAGCCTGAATATACGTATAACTCAATTTATCTGGCAATCGGACCGAACCTGCTGCTCTTGCTCTCAATCCCTTTGTCTCTTTCGCTCTCTCTTTCTCTCTCTCTCTGTGCGATCTGAAAACGAGAAGCACCCGAGAGACACCCAAATATTGCGAATATTGTGTGTTGTTATTCTTATAAATATAGAAGATGACATTAATTCAAAAAATAGCGATGGGAAGTTGGTGCGATTGAAGCGATTGGGAGCAGCATGAGCACAGATACGCAGCCAATATTCGCGTTTCAAGCTCTCTCACTCGATTCTCAAAATGCATGCCACACTTGAATTGGGACCGAAAAAATTGTAACCATCCAACTATAATGACTGATTGAACTGGCACAGCGAGCGCGCCATATCGATAGCCAGTGTGTGTGTGTGTTTGTGTGTGCTGTATTCCGTCGTCGGCGTCATTGTCGTCGTTTTTGTTGCTGCTGCTGCTGTACTGTGTACAGTACTTTGCAGTAAACTCTCATCAAAATCCATCGTCATCAGTTTACAGTGTGAAGCACCGTAGTTTATGCACCACACACAATTATTTGAGCATTCTATACTCTGATGTATTCCGTTCGACCGACCGACCGACCCGTTTCCATTGCATAGAAACAGCAAAGAGTCGCCATCGCTCTCGCATACAGTACTGTTCCGTTTCGTTCCGTTCGGTTCGATTTGATGTTGGACTCACACTCTCTACTCACTGTTCAGCACTTTTGTGTGAAAAAGAAGCGAAACAAAAATCGTGAATATAGCTCTCTTTACCATTACAGCGTATGCGAGTGTACACACAGAGTGTGTTGGTCGATTCTCTGTGTTACCTACTCAGTTCAGTAAGCAGAGACTCTGCTCTCAATAAAACAGCCGTCATATCGTCGTTGCTTCACAAAATACACCACACCACACCACGCCATAACTGACTGTATCGAACGAACGAAACTTTTTTGTTTTTGATGTGGTCGTGGCCAACTGTTGTTTTTCTGTGATGTGATGTGATGTGATGATGAAAGCCTTTTTACGTACAGCGCAAAACTGACAAAATGCTGAACAACTGAATCGGTTCGAAAACCCACAGTGGGCTATTGTGTATGATGTGAGAGTGAGTAATGAACGTGGTGGTGGTGCTGCTGCTGTTGCCGCTGCTATGTGGTCGTTTCATATTCGGCCTCACCATCTTGGATCTGATGAAATCCAAGATGGTGGACACACTGTACATTTTGGTTCACCCAGTAATCGTTCCTAATTAGCAGATTTTTGCAACGGTGCCGTCACTCCACACACGCCAAGCACATTTGCACCACATTCAAAATTAAAATTGAGTCGTAGTTCCAACTTCTTCATGGTTCCTATCTCTCTTTCTCTATCTATCACTGTGTATGACACAATCGAACGCAATTCACGATGCGTTTGATAATTTTTTTTCTTTTCGCTTTACATAACCACTGGTGTGTGAGTCGCCGTCATTTGAAATCCACCAAATGCCAGCTGGTAATTAAATTGAAGCAAAACACAAAAGCACATACACCGATAGCCCTCACCCGAACCACCCGAAACACAAAAAAAAAATACTTGAATGATTAACTCACCTTAATGCTGACACATGAAAGAATTTTATTTGAGAGTGGCTCCTTGTCAGCAGCAGCTGTCGCAAAAATGGGAACACATTCCGAATCGGGAGCGAGACATAATCGACATCCGCCACTGCGAGCTATTCTCTTCAATACATCATCGGTCATATTGAAATGGTTTTACACACAATTTGTTTTTTTATTTCTTTTTTTTTCGCAACCGATTCTTCACTTCACCGCACACACCAAAAAACCGTGTTGCAATCGATTTAGTCTCTCTGTTGAAAACTTCGGTATCGGCCTTGATCACTTTCCAAAAATGACAATTGGAACATTTAGATTGATTCGGTCACAGAATGAGATAATTTCACTGTTCACACATTTGCCGATTACACCGATTGAATGACAGAAACACTCAAACAAAATATTTTTGTGGATTTGATTTCTTTTTTAGCTGGTTTGCGATTTTTTTTCCCTTCAATTTTGTAATGTTCAGTGGTTTCCTTGTAAATGACATCAGCTCTCTGTCTCTCGATGTGGAGCGATATTCACTTCATCAATATTCACTACGAACTAACTGGCACATTTCCATCGAATACAGTGTGATTTGGCGAGGAGACCGATGTGATGGTGTTACTACTCACTTGAAAGCACTCCATCCGTCTATACCTGACAGAAGGATCGAACGAAACCGCTCTATACAATGTTATCGGTGTGCCACATACGCTCCTCTCTTTCACATTTCGTTTCGGTTCCGATGTTTTGACTTTCGCATGTGTATGCCGTGCCGTCTGTCTTTTGCCGCTCTCTCTCGTCATTCACTCGGCACATTTGGACCGTGTGTAAAACCGAAACCAAAAACACCAACATGCGGACAACTTCATACCAATCCGTCGCCGCATTCGTTTGAAAACGAAAGTGATTTATGCTAAATTTTCTATAAATAATTTTGTTTTGAACTATTTTTTTCGGGAAAAAAATTTCAAACCTAATTCATCAACATTTGTTTACATATTTGGAATTTTCTTTTTTTATTATTTCAATATTTTGAAAACGTAATTAGCAAACGAAGTGTGAATACATTCAAAACAAACGGATTTTGGAATTTGCATTGATTCAAACGTCAGCTAATGGTTCGCATGCACGCACATCAACCTGATACTTTGACAACGTAACATTTATTGAGTAATTCCAATCTGTTAGCATATACCATTTGTATGCGATAACATTCAACTGAAAATGATTGGGAAAAACGATCAAAAATCATTATTTGTGCGAAAATTCATTTATTTCTAATTCGAAATGCCCAAAATATGTCAAAACAATCAACAAAGTCCATCGAACTAGTAACGCTTGATTCTGTTCCACATGTTTTGTTTTTACTTTCGTCTGTGTTTACGTCTTCGTTCGCACGTTGGCTTTCTAAAAGTCGAACACACAACAGACTTGTTTGTATGTGTGTGTGTGTGTTTCAATTTTTTCCCTGTAAACATCGAATGAGTGTGTAGACCTCAGAGTAGTTCATACTATGATGTTAGGTTTGCATATGGATGGATACATACTACGTGCATTGTATTTTATGCAGCTTCAGAGGCGAGTTTTATCATTTATTCGGAATTCTGTTTTCATTTGCCACAAACGCGGAAGGTTAATGCCTGACTTCGAAGAAGCCCATCGAAGTGGAATTTTTTTTTTTTCGTCAACAAACATCTGCTGCTGGTTTGTTTCTCGTTGAATGAACAGATTCAAGCGTTTTCTCAAACAAATCGTATGGCTTCTTTCCGATAGCGATACGTTTTTGGGCTTGATTTCGTTCCCAATTCGGCTCTCAATCAACAACATGGGATACAAAATAATAATACAAATGATCACTTTTTTTCTCGTCTCATTTTATAAATAGTCCATTTTCGTCTACTGTCTGCAATGCTCAAAGTTTGGCAATTCTTACAATAGCATCAATATTGTCTACAATCGAAACAGAAATTGACTGAATTGAATTCGAAATTGAGGTGTTATCAGAGAACAGTGATATGAATTTGGTTGAAATGTAACCGTGACATTCAAAATGAATTAACTTGACTTGGACAACGTGTTCAAATCCATTGGTTGGTTCATTATCTTTGTTCAATGTCGCTGCACAACGCTAAATGCATAAGCAACACATTGTGTGCATACAGTTCATATTAAAATCCAAGACGGAAACTTGCCGAACAACGATAAAAATGCAAATCTAGAAAAACCGGCACATGGCCGTAGTTTTCAAAGAAAGGAAAGAAACAAAACCAACATTCGGTCGTTATGGAATTAATACAAACGAATTGGAAATGATGTGGGAGTCACAGTACCGTAAAATGAATGATAAGATGTTGATATGTTCGCTATTTTACATTCGCGTGGCGATTAGAAAGTCGGTCAGTCAGGCCAAAGACAGCTGATATCGATTGCAATATCAGAGGAAATTTTAACTTGAGTCTTGTTTATCCCAACAGAATGTGCAAAAAAAAAATGCCAGCGGAAATTCCTACCGGAACAAAAATCGTAATTGTGCGCTTTAATTCGCGTAACAATTGTATCGAAAATTGCGAACGAACACAGGGTCATTCGAAACCGACAAAATACACACACACACACACACACAGCTCTATATTCGACATGAACCAAATGCGATTTCATAAGCGAAAATATTTTGATTGGCAAATTGAACAGCGAACGATTTATGACATCACCACCGCCGCCGCGGCTTCGGTCACGTAAACATGCGACGCGATTGAGACGAAACGAAGAAAAACACAAACAAAAGCATTACATGCGACTTTACAATAGCAGACGGATCTATTTAATTTACAGAGATCATCGACTGTGAATCGATGGTCGTGCTCTTATGGATCCCTCTCCGCTCCTCTTTCAAACAATCTGAGCTAGTCTGCAGTTTGCAGCGCATACATTCGAACTGTGTGTATATTTGACTATTTGAGTGGTATTTTTTTTGTCGTCGCGTAATCATATCACTGTTTTTATCTTCCTATCTCAGTATTCGTATATCTTTATCGACGAGCTATTGCACACATAACTATGTTCGGCCCACAGATGGTAACAAACGTATAAATAAAGTGCTCGACAATTTGAGTGTTTTGTACACTTAGCGTTCCGCTCAAAACATTTCATTTCATTACCGGCTGTCCGACAATTCACAAGTGCAGAGAGAAGTGTAGGTCTGATCGTGTTTTGTTTTTTTGCCTTCAATTTTGACTAACTGTACGGCGTACGTGCGTGTGTGTGTGTGTTTGTGCGCAATTTTCAAATCGAAAACGAGTTAAAAGTAAGTAATTTGTTTATCTCTGGTTGATTTGCCAAAAGAGATTTGTTTGTTATTTTTGTTTTGGTTTGTAAATTTCAAAGGCAAAAATTAGATTAAAGGCGACGTTTATATTTTCGACGTTCACATAGATTATGCGAAATCTCTTGAAATAAACATTTGGTCAACTAATCGAAGCAAGTCAACATTGAAAATCCAGTAATATATAGACTCGATTTATTCTAATTTGAATAGGCCTGGTATTTAGAATCGTCACTAAAAATCAGCATAAATAGAGGTTGTTTTGTTTGCCTTTCAATCAGTTGTGCCTATTTCACAGACAATGCTTGAATTAGTTCTAATCATCATTTATTGTTCGAAGAATGTGTTCCATCGCAATTCTCCCTTGGTTTATTGCCATTCTTTTTACGAATATTGTCGTGAGTTTTTCCATTTAATTGAATCAACTCACAAAGTTTAATTCATTTTTTATGTGTCGGTTCAAACAAATTGATTTTAATTAGTAGACATTGTGATAAGAGAATGTAAATCATTCATGTCAAAATGCTTGCAAACAAATTTTAGATAACAAATTTCGTGTTTATTTCGTAAATGTTATAAACATAAATGAATTTTTTAATTGCGTTTTTATTATTTGGTTTTTTTTTCTCGTTGTTTTTATGTTGCGTGTTTAGATGTCATTCAAAGTAGAACCAGTATCGTCGCCAAAATCGGTAAATAGCTCAAATAGCTTTGAAATTTCGTATATTTGAGGAAAAAAAAAATGAATTTTTATCAAATAATGATTCTTTCAACATATATGTAACTAATTGAAATTATTCTAAATAAAGGTTCTCGGTGAAGGCCCGCATTGGGATGAAGGCACCCAAAGTCTCTACTACACTGATATTTACGGCAAAGAAGCATCAATTTTACGCTACGATTACAACGAAAACAAAGTGTATTCAGCAACAATTGACGGTGAACCGGTCGTGTCATTTATCATACCTGTAGCCAATCAGACCGATCAATATGCCATTGGTATCGGACGACGTGTGGGAATCGTACAATGGGATGGTGTCTCACCAAAGGCGAAACTTGGTCCAATTTGTTTTGACGTTGAAAGCGACAAACTAAGCAATCGTTTCAACGACGCCAAAGCTGACCCGGTTGGACGGTTCTACGGAGGTACGATGCGCCTAGAAGAATTGGGTGATCTGTTCGAAGTTGCAGGCGGAACATTCTATCGGTACATTAAGGGAGAAGGTGTCAAAGACTTGTTACATAACGTTCACTGGTAAAACATAACCCATAAATGCTATTCTCGCAATTACTGATAGTAAAATTACTCCAATATTTCCAGTTCAAACGGTTTGGCGTGGAATGAAAAGGAGAAGAAATTCTACTTTATTGACTCTATCAAATTCGACGTTAAAGAATTCGATTACGATCCGAAGAATGGAAACATCTGTAAGTGCACTTGACAAATTACTTTTCGTCATTCAAAAAACAATTATCATTTCGAACAGATTAATGATCGAATTTATATTTTTTTAGCCAACGAGAAAGTGGTCATTGACTTGAGTTCGAATGGAAAAAATCCAGGGTTCGTCCCAGACGGTATGACAGCTAAAAATTACAAATTGCGTGAAATTTTTAATAATCTTTTAACTATGGTAATTAAGGTATGACAATTGACGCCGAAGGCAATTTATATGTTGCAACCTGGGGTGGTTCAAAAATAATTAAAGTTGATCCGAAGTAAGTATTCGAAAGTTTTTGAAATTGTATAAGCATTTTTCAACCAATCAATGTTATCGCAATCATTATCAATGATTTAAAGCGTCCATGTCTAAGTCATGATAACTTTTTCACTGCAAAATATGTATACACAGAGCAGAAACAGATAACATTTGGAGTATCAAAATCTTGGTCATTGTCCACGTTAATTTCAATTATTTTATATGTTTCTGAAGTTCAATGTAGGATTCCAAAAGTAATAGTAGCTTTGATTTGATAAATGTTATCAGACATTTGTCGACATCGCGCATTTATTTTTTATTTGTCGTAATGATATTTGCCAAGTATATCAAACAAATCACTTTATTTTTACGGGCGAAAACATACTTTTTTTGAATATATCAAATGGTTGAATTATTTGAAGGATATTTATTGCCTTGGCATTTCTTGAAAACAGTTGACAAAACATTCTTTGGTTATATCGTCGACTAATGTTCATCATTTTCTGATTACAGAAAAGGCAAAGTTCTATTGGAGATTCCTTTTCCGGCAAAACAAGTCACAAGCGCTGCCTTCGGTGGGCCAGATATGGATATTTTGTACGTAACAACCGCTGCTACCGATCGTGATGGTGAGCAGCCACCATTAGCTGGCCACTTGTTCAAAGTCACAGGACTGGGTGTAAAAGGTCTGCCAGGAGTTAAAGTTCGCGTATAAATATCATGTTAACATTAATCCAATAAATTGTACACTTCATGATATCTGATAAGCCAAAGGAAGGCATGTTTAAATGTTCAATAAAAAGCGTTATCACCAAAATTGCGTAGTTTCACTCCGTAAATTAGATGCGATAATTGAAGATAGTCGTTTGACGTGAGTGTTTTTTTATTTCACTCAAATAAAACATGTTTTATTGTGTGCACACAGAATTTTATCATTTGGTGGTGTTTGCTTTGCTATTTTACAACTGCCAACAGAATAAAACAGAGATGATGTTAAAATACAGTAAGCTACAAAATGTCTGGCGGTATCTAAGAGGGCTTGTAAGAAAATGAATGTCCAGAATTCACCACTTTTTGACCACTTTCAAATTCAAGATTTTTTTTTTTTGCTCGGAGCAATTTGAGCTGTAATAATTGGCTCAAAACAATTTTGGGCTTCAAATGTTTTTGTGTAAGCCGAAAAATATTCTTGAAATGAAACGTATAATTCACAAACATCTACCAATTCGCTTTCAATTTGATACAAACGATCACGTGATAGCATGTCATTGCAAGGCTTAAGCATGAGAAAATCAATACTTTGCCATTGGTAAGAATGCTGGGCGAGTGCAAACAGTTCCCATAAAACTTACATTGGATTTGAAATTAAGTTCTTTCATTTAAATGTGGTCAAAGTCATTTTGTCATTTCAAATGATCCAACGCCAATTCCAACTGTAAGGCATATGCAATTTGAAATCTAACTGCGCAGTATCATTTCAATTCAAATCGAATTCAAAGCGAGTTGATAAAACGGAATAACTTTGTCGAATATTACCAACATACTAATTACAGCTCTATTTCAATGGAAAGTGTTCCAAAGTAGAGTATGAACTTTTCAACATATGCACAAATTCTCTTTACGTTTGAGCGTTTAATTTGTCCTTAGGCGATATTGGAGTACTCGATATTTGGTCATTTGTATTATTCCAGGTGTAGTTTCGTTTTTTGATTCGTTGAAATGAAATGTTCTAATCATTAAATAAATTCAAATGTACACATTCGCTTGAGGCTTGTCTGTTGCGGCTCACAGTTGGTTCGATGATCAAGAAATCGATACCAATTAAATTAAATACAGACGACAAAACTTTTGCAGGATTTTAGAAAAAGAAATTCAATCAAATATTGAAATTGCCTTTCAGAAAACAAACCCTGTGTTGTTTTATTGTACAAAAACAATTTTTGGCGTGTATATAGTGAAAATAAATGACAGAGTAAAACTTTGTCTAAATCCCAGAACAGGCTTCATTAGATTGACGCACTATAATTTTTTTCTGCATGTTTCTGTAGAAGCGCAAGTATAAAAGCAAGAACTGGGGAGAGTTTTGATCAGTTCAAATTAGAATATCAACCGAAGAGCTATCGCAACGATCTGGAATACATCAAAAATGGTGAAACGATTGGAAACATTCAAAAGAATAAGAGAACAAATGGTGGTTTTGGGCTATTTGCCATTTCAAAATTTACCGCGCTGGTGCCAAAGTATTCCAGTTGGTTCAATTTATGTCGGTTTCATATACATCGTATTGACACTGTTCGTTTGGACCACATCGTGGTTTCTCATTTTTGAGGAGAAAACCTTTGATGAATTATCGGAAAGCGTATCTTATACCGTCCAAGCAATTCTGTACCTTGTATTGTATTCGTTACTGCAATTCGCAAATGACGCCTTGTTGAAAACATTCAAAGATTTGGAAGACATCATTGAAAGAAGTAAGCAATTTTCACTAGAATTGAAGGGATAAAAACGAAACCAAACGTGATAGAATTTTATGTGTGCATCTCAGGAATGCGATACCCATTGGTCCAGAACATTTACATTCAAACGGACGAAGGTTTCGAGAAAACCACAAACAAATCTTTTAATTTTGCAAACAAAGTGTTTTTACCGATACTCATTGGGCCAGCTTTTGTCGGATCATATGTGACTTTTCTTTTGTCCCAATCTGATGCATCGTTTCAACTCATATTTGTAGCATGGTAAGAGTATTTTTTTCCAATGTCTCTAGCAAAAAATCATAGCACAAATACGAAAAATGCATGAATATTCAAATGAAGGTAAAGTCGGCTTTATCCGATTAAAATCGTTGTCCGTAAGGTTTCCGTTTGAATGGAAAACACCGATTGGATTCTTCTTCGCCTGTTCCATGGAAGCATTGTTTATCATCACTTTGTTGGAAATTGCCTTGTATCCGTTGTTCATTTACATCGGAATTGGTCGATACTCGATGGCATTTATTTCGGATGTAATTACTAATTTGAACGATATCAGAGTTCAACACGAAGAATCGACTAAACGACATGGAATTACCACTAAAGAGAGACGG